ATATACAAATCTTGGTGACTATGCTTTCTAATCTAACAAATACACACCATACTCCAAAAATGCCTCAGTGTTCAAATAATCTTATGACCTCATGAGATTTACGTTTGCATGGTCGATTTGAAGTTTCTTTTCTTTTGCGAATTCATGTCATGTTAGCACGAGCATAAGGCCTTTATTTGTTTCACTTTTAGTTGTTTCGTTTTTAGCACGTGCCATGTACATGTTCCCTTGTCATGGATGTTACCTTAAGACCCTTTATCATCATGTGTGCATATAACCATTCCATGACCCCAAAATATCTTTTAAGAATGGGATTTAGAGAAACTAATTTTTAAGATTTTATTACACTAACTTGTCTTTCTATTTTTTTAGTAATGTTCTATATAAATTTTACAAAAATACTTATATGAATATGTTTGACCTTAATTGTTTTTAAAGCTAGAGTTCTAGACAACTGAGACACACATTAGACACAACACTAATATCTAAATTACATATCACCGACTACACCTGATGTTACTCACTCGTACTTAGTCCCCAGGGAATATCTATTCTATTCCAAGCCAAGGGACCAAGTCAGGTGGCCATCAAAGGTTTAAAAATTTGTAAAAGATCATTTAAAATCTATTATATTTTACTTTTTGAAAAATGACCTACAAAAGCAATGGGTTGCTTTCAAAATATCTATACTCTCATATTCCAGGAATCAATTGTACACTTAAACCCTTGAGTTAAAGACACTCTTCGGAAGATCTTTTTGATATTGAATTTTGGATTTTATTGTAAAAAAAAAAAAAAAAAAAAAACGAAAGAAGAAAAAAGGCCCTAGATCTAATTAGTGTAGAAAAATACAAAAGCTTGGTTTAGGACTAGTAGGATTCGAATCAGATTGGGAATCCAGCAAATCCATTCACCTCGAAGCCACCTAAACTACATGAGTTTCAAGTTCGAGTTTTTTTTTTTTCTTGTTTAAAATTATCAGTCCAGCTCAAGATCTACTACAAGTTCGACTAGAGGGGACTCAAGCTCAAACCGTGTCATTACGACATTTTAGACTCTGTACGGAACCCACTGGACAGCATTGCTGAGTATAGCAAGGTTTATGGTGTGAATAGAATAGGGGATGTGTAACCAACTTATGGTAAGGGGATTTTTGTAAATTTCCTAATTTTCTTCACATAGATTCTCTTAAAAACTAGATATGATAATTTCGGACAAATATCAAAAAAATATTAAAACCCCCTCTAATATCACTAAAGGGTGAAAGATCTATAAATTAAAATTACACTTACGCAATAGTTATAAATTTCTATATTAATGAGGTGCGTCCTCGTAAAAATATAGAAAATTTCAAAATTGTTTCTATTCAGTATTGAGAAACTAGGATAATTAAATATATTTTGGTAATTATATCATGAAAGGTCCTTAACCGAATAAAAAAAAGTACTTCTTTGGGGTAAAATTTTCAAAATACCATGAATTCTTTGGGATAAAATTATAAAACCATGCCAAATAGTTTGGCTCCCCAAACCACCACAAAAGCCAGAAAATTGTTTTCAAAGAACTACCTAGTTGATATAGAATTCCAACGTATATCCTCATATTTAATTTGTAATCTTTACGCCGTGGTTTGATTTTTGAACCCCTTTCTTGATATTTTTCCCCATAAATATATAAACCTTCATTAGGATCGTCCTCGTCAAAACCCTAGAGAGATCGTCGCCCATCAGGTCAGTTTCCAAACTCGAAACCACCCCCTTTACTGATTTTTTCTTAGGGTTTGGCTTTGGTATTGATTTTTCAGTAAACTCATTTCTTCAGGATTCATTAAGGTTTGTTTTTTTCTAGGGTTTTGATTTAAGATTGTTTTTCTTTTGGATACCAACATATGGTTAGGGTTTCCACGCGGATTGTATTTGTTGGATTGTGCGATCGTTTAGTACTTCTTTTAATTATTTGATGTGAACTTCGGGAAGATGTGGAATGCATTGTATTGGACCTGGTTTTGATTGATTTCTGTAGAAATCTTGAACATAAAGTTACTTTACTATGTGTAGAGAAGTTGTTGATTTGTTCATGGCTATTGTTGCTGGAAATTTAAAATTTTGAAGTATAAAAAGCATCATGGGTCGAAAAGGAAGATGGAGGTTTGTTTAAGAAATGCAGTTACTGATGTTGAGAGCTTTACTTTCATGACTTCATAGATACTTCATAGTTTCCATTTTGAAGCTTTAGTATGGATTTAAGAATGCGGGAGTTGTAATTGTGCAGTTTGTGTACTTGTAACTTTTTATTATTCGGTTTCCTGAGGGATTCCGTATTAAGATGTCTATGAAAATATCAAGATTTACTGATAACTTGTTAGGCTCCCTGGTTCTTCTCATACATTTCTCAAAGTTACAAGTTTCTGGTCTGATAATTTCAAAGCATGCAGTAAAGTTTGGTGAATAAGTTGGGGTAGTTTTTTTGTTTTCTTTTTTAATAGTAGTGGTAGATTGCATCGATAGACATTTGATATATTCTTCTCAGTGTTTTCAAACTCGCCTCGGGTCAGGTACTTGGCCCCGGCCTGAGCGGAGTTATTTGGGTGTGTCCACCCCCTGAGGTTTGTTCAAGGCCCAAGGGCCCCTGAAGAATTAAAAAATAAATATTATGAAAATATTAAAAAATAAAATAAAAATTGTATAGGCCAAATAAGACCAAAAACAACCTAAAAGGTCCAAATATGCTCAAAAAAATATATAAAACTTGGATTTTTAAAAAAATTATTTATAGTTGGGGGCATTTTAAAATTTCCAAAACCATGAAAAATATAAAAATAAGGCATATTGCAAAAAAAAAAAAATCACCAATCTTTTCCAAAAACATCCATATTTCATATAAAAATTTATACATCAATCCCATTCTTTATATATTTTTAGGGTTTTTCTATTTTTCTAATATGTCCTGAGTTTCATTTACGGCTCGTCAAGGGGGCGAGTGGTGAGTCTTGGTAACTGGGCCAAGTTCGAGTGGAATCAACCAAGTCTGAAAACACTGATTTTTCTGATTGTGGTCAGCTTATACTTCTTATCTCCTGAAACAAGGTGCTAATGAGAAGGGCTCAGGGTCTTGAGTTGGTTTGTTGCTGTAGGGGATAAACATGATGAAATGCTAATCCATTAGTTGTATTTTGTGAATATTGTTCTCACTCATGTGCCTCCAGAGGTGTCATGATATCGAAATGTTGGAATCAACTGATGTACCATTTGATTGCTTAGTATAATTCTCGAGTTGTACAGTGAAAGTTGAGAATGAAAGAAAAAAAAAAAATAGTAGTTCAAAGTTGATAATGGACAGTTACAATAAGAAAAGTTATACGGCTACCTTGTTGAAAAGGGCCAAGTATATAGCTATTAGCTGGAGAAGTTGTTCAATTAAAGTGCTAAGAGTGCTCATGCATTCTTACACGGTTTTGGTGTATCTTCTCCTTCTTCTAATATTACACCTTGCCTCCTTGGACACAAGTCATATGTTTGCTTTCATCATTCTATGCACTTTTTTTAAGCTTCATTTTTTATGTGTGGTGGCATGGTTGACTTTCATGACCATGGCATTTGGAAATAGGGCTGTTACATTCACCGGACAATGGCTAGGGAGCTCATCTTCCCAAGGATATGACCTCCAAAAGGGAATACTAGCCATGGTCCTTCTTTTACACCCTTTATTGTTACAAATTTATTGCGCATTGGGTTGAGTTCTCTAATTATCATTATTTTCATTCAACTGCCCTCTTTTTAGCCTTTCATCTTACATTTTCTTGATATAAGATATAACTATTACTAATCCACGTCTGATCATTTGTAACAATCCATAATATTTCTGCAAATTAGAACCTTTCATTTAGGATCCTCATCATCATAACCCTAGAGAGACCATCACCATGAGTTTAGTTGTCAAACCTGAATCACCCACCTCTTTCTAATAGTTTGATCTGTCCTAGGGTTTCTAAAAGTAATTCTTCAGGGATTCATTAAGGTTTTGTTCTTCCAGCATTTTGATTTGGGGTGGCTTAGGTTTTTGATTTAGGATTGCTTATCTCTTGGTTACCATTATATAAATTGGGTTTTCCAGGTGGATATCGTTGGTGGACTGTGTGATTCTGGGGGATGTTATGTTTTTATTGAAATTTTTTCTTTGATATTAGCTTTGGGAGGATGTGGAATTCATTGTGTTGCTGTTATCTTGGGTAGAAATTATGCTCAAAATGTTATTCTACTATGTGCAGAGAATTTAATTAATTTGGTCGTCACTATTGTTGCTGGAATTGTTTGTAATCTGCAGTTAAAAAAGCATCAAGGTCCAAAAGGAAGATGATGTTTTTTTTAGGGCATTTAGTTATTGGGTTTGAGTTCCTTTTTTCATTTTTTAAATGTTAGGTGTTGGTTTCTTTCATAGACATCAGACATTTTTTATTATGGTTATCCTTTATTGCTAAAACTTCTTGCCTCCTGAAACAAGAATTCAATGAGTTGAGCTTGGAGTCATGAGTTGGTTCATTGCTATAGGGGTTAAAGATGGTCAAGTGATATGCAGCCAATAGCTAGCTGTATTTTATGAATTTTGTTGCCACTTCAATGCCCGACTGAGGTCATGATTCCAAAATGTTGAAATCAATTGAAATACCATTTGGTATTTACTATTTTATTGAAGGTTTTTTTTTGTGGTTGAAATTTGATAATGAAGAGTGCAATAAGAAAAGCCATGTGTTGCTTGTTGAAAAGGGACTAGGAGAAATATCTGGAAGAGCTTCTCAGTTAAAGTGTTAAGAGTGCTTATCATGCATGCTGTTTATTATTTTCTTTGGACATGAGTCATGTTTGCTTTCATTGTTCTATGCAATTGTTCGAAGTGTCAATTCTTTATGTGATGCATTGCTATGCTATATTGGTGCCATGGTGGACCTTACTGCCATGGCATCTGAAACCTGACAATCGCTAGAGAGTTCATTTTTCAAATGATATGACTCTAAATGGGAATCCCCGCTATGGTTCCATCCAATTGACATCTCCCATACTAGACCAAATGTCTATACACAATCGAGCAGAGAGATCTTGCGAAGTATAAGGCGGTGATTAATAGTAATAACTTTATCCAACAAGCAATTTAGCATCTGAAAGATCTTAACCTTGACCTAGTAAGAGTACTCTAATCCACCCTGGCTGAGGAGGGGTACATATCCTATGTAGTGAGAGCTCTAAATAAAGATTTATGTTTCTTTGGACATGAGTCATGTTTGCTTTCATTGTTCTATGCAATTGTTTCGAAGTTTCAATTCTTTATGTGATGCATTGCTATGCGCTATTGGTGCCATGGTGGACCTTCCTGCCATGACATCTGAAACCTGACAATAGCTAGAGAGTTCATCTTTCAAATGATATGACCTCTAAATGGGAATCCCCATTATGGTTCCATCCAGTTGACAACTCCCATACTAGACCAAATGTCTATAGACGATAGAGCGGAAAGATCTTGCGAAGTATGAGGCGGTGATTAATAGTTAAAACTTTATCCAACAAGCAATTTAGCATCTGAAAGATTTTAACCTTGACCTAGTAAGAGTATTCTAATCCACCCTTGCTGAGGAGGGATACATATCCTATTTAGTGACTAGTGAGAGCTCTAAATAAAGATTTATGATGCCTCTTCAATAAATGTAAGTAAAATAGCTGGTGAAGGTTTGTCTTTTCCCTTGTTATGGTCTGAACTCACTTTGGTCCTCTTTTCATGACATTTAACTTATGATTTATCTTCTATTTTCATTTTCTTCGTGACATTATGGTTATGTTTGCTATTTATACTGACCTACTGGATCTTAGAAAAATGTTTATTGCACCCTGAGGTTCTCATGTTATGACAGCTTGACCAATGCAAAACATGCGCAGTAACATACTCATTTGTTGATATCTATGTAGGTATATTTGCATTGTTTTGGTGTTCTTTTTTTTATTTGGTTGAATCAGTAACGGAGTTTTCATCATAAGTATCAGATGAACAGTTTAAATTAAGTTGAACTAAGTGCATCATTTCTGCAACATCTATTCTAACAATGAGTGGCATTGTACAACTTTCTAAGTGATGGTGGTGTACCATTCATTTATCATGAGAGTGTATCTACTTGGACCTAATGCCGAGCTCTCTCTCTCTCTCTGTCTCTCTCTCTCTACAGGGACCAAAATGGACACGCAGGTAAAACTTGCTGTTGTGGTTAAAGTGATGGGTCGCACTGGCTCAAGGGGTCAAGTGACCCAGGTTCGTGTCAAGTTTCTGGACGACCAGAACCGATTTATCATGCGAAATGTAAAAGGGCCTGTCAGGGAGGGGGACATCCTCACCTTGCTGGAGTCTGAGAGAGAAGCCCGAAGGTTGCGCTGACTCTCTCTCTCTTGCTCTCTCTCTCTGTCCAAGCTTTTTCTCTTTATACTTTTTTACATGCCTTGTTATGCATCAAAAGATTGTTAGTTAAACAGTTCTTATGAGTGACTTACTGTTGTGGCCTTGATCCTTTGGGTCTATTTTCAATTGACACTACTTGTTTAATAGGGTGATTTTGGGAATGCAATTTTGTTTGTGTTGAGTGTTGATGTTCCATTGAACTCTAGTGCTGATTTTGAACTTACGATTTGTGATCACTAAACAATGTGTAGCGTTATGATAGCAGTTAAAGGCTCCTACTGAATCTTGGACTTTATATTGTTCACAGTTCACACAAGGGAAATTTAACAAAATACCCATGAGAGCTATTATTTGACAATTTACAGATTTGTAACAATTTCAATGGTTATTTTGAAATTAAAATCGAACAATGTGCGTGATAATGTTGAATTGTTGATCTCTTATAATTATATTGATAATTGCACTTCACACAATCGAGTGATCAGTGTAACTGACCTGTGTACAAAGTTTAGTTCGTGCAATTTACTTTGGAAAAATGCAGAATATTTTGACTTGTTTTGTTGAACAAATAATATGCAAAACTGCGGTAGTATTCTAAAGCCAAGCATCGAGGTCTATTTTAACCCCGTTCCCGAGTTCTGAGGTAGGTGGAAAACTGAAATCCATATGGATCTGCAATTTTATGATTTTAAAATAATCTATTCTTGATTTGAATGTTTGGAAGGTGTTTGAGGTTGCAACTTTGTACTTTGGAAGTAATGTGCATCAAAAAAATCTAGTAAAAAAGAGTATTTTGAAGTTGAAAAACATTCCAATTGATCATTTCGACATTAGATATGTGAATAAAATTAGAAGTAACAAGTTTTAAAAATAAAAAAATATATACAATGAGATCATTTATTTTTTATATAAGGAGGTCACAATTATGATTTAATGGTTGGATTGGAAATCCGGTGGATGAGGATGTGTTATTGTTTAATCATAAAGTCTAAAATAAAAAAAATTTAATGTTGTGGTACACTTTTGTTATTTTGATTTCATATCCAATAGTTAAAAGTGATTGTGATATTATAAAAAAATAAATAGTATAATCTTTAAAAATAATACAAGTGATTGTGATCTTATGCAAAAAATAAATGGTACTATCTATAAAAATAATATAAGTGATTGTGATCTTATACAAAAAATAAAAGGTACAATCTTTAAAAATAATACATCGTAGTAAATCAGTTGGATTGTCCATTGTCAAGACATTTTTTTGATGAAACATTTCCACCAAAACTATGTTGGGCATTTCGTCAATTGATTTTCTTATGGTGATCAATTTGTAATCTATAGCCAAGTTGATGAATATGTACCAAATCCACCAATGGCTCGATGAGAAATCAAGAGGGAAGAGCATTTTGAGAGCAACCAACCCGAAAAATAAGGAAACCTTTCTATGCTGTGCCACCCACACATTTACAAAAAAAATATAAAATTGCTAAAAAATTCCGAAAGAATAAAAAATATATTAGGTAAAATCAATAAAGAGTTGGTTAAAAAAAACCAATGCAAATTTACTCATGTTCCTTTCTCTCTCTCTTTTTTTCTTCTTTTTTTTTTTTGAGTTAAATGCACTTGTTACTCGGTGGCGATGCAACCTGAAGTACTCTAGAGGCTCGTGGCAAACCTGGAATATGGTTCCGCAGACTCCACATTCCAGGTGCGTCCCGGACATAGGAGCCATGAGGCAAGGCAAACCTGGAATATGGTTCCGCAGACTCCACATTCCAGGTGCGTCCCGTACATAGGAGCCATGAGGCAAACATAGGTGACTTGACCCGAGTTTCAAGTTGGGTAGGCCTTTGGAGTGTTGGGCCGTCTCTGAACCTTGTGACCATTCCATTTGGCAACTTGACTTAAACTTGAGGTTGGGTCTGCACTCGGGGTGTTGAACCAACGCAGAAAAAATTAACAAAAGGCACAAAGGTATAAAGTATAAAAATTATCAGGCATTAAAGATTGCAAAAATGGGTTATTTACAATAGTTTTGTTAGAAATAAATTATGTTCCTAAAATTATGTAGAGATTTGATAACTCGTCATTAAAAAAAAAAGGAAAATACCTACTAAAATTTTAATAAACTGTCAAAATGAATAAATATATAAAAATACAGATAAGGCCAAAATTTTGACAATTTTGGTATTTTTATTTTTTGAAAAATGGAAAGCAAGATATTGTTTCTTTTTAATCACAATATCTAAGTACAATATTTAGCAATAAAATGTCCCCATGCTATAAAAAATGAAAGACATAAAGGTGCTTCCATTCGGCTAGACAAGTTTCTATTTGCCAATTCTTGTAGTCAGGCCGCCAGTCCAGTTAGACTTTAATAACTTTGTTTGTAAGCTTTTGAGCGTCTAATCTTTGATCAAATGGTTCAATGTTTTACGCATTTTTAAAAAATAAACAAAAATTATGAATCATTTTGAAATGAATTATACCATCGGTTGGGCCAAAAGACTCTACTTCTCTTATCACTGCTTCCAACATATCCTTATAGGTCTATCTCTTGTCTTTTTTTAGTCTTCTATAGTTCTATTTGAACCAACTCATACCTCCTTACAAGTGTTGTATTGGGTTTAGTTGCATATTACGCAAAATGATAAAAATACTAACAAGCACGTAAACAAATTTAAAAAATATCTCTCATTTTAGAATAGTTAAATAATGAAAATCTCTGGCTCTTTCTCATCATAATTTTGGCCACAAGGTTAAATATAGCAACAAATAAGAGGGAAAGAAACCGTAGTAGATTCTTTCTTAGCGAGTGCAAGTCCCATTTTATTTCCTTCTTTGTTATCTTTAGCATGCCATCCATGCACCAACGTCAATTTTGAAACCCATATTACAGATTCACAGAAAAATATTTCCACAATAGAGAAGTTTCCAATTTCTTCACTATACATGCCTTTTAAGACAAACCCATTTTACCAAATAATATTAGATGTTTATTTTATTTTCTATAAAGGCAAGTGCCCATACAGTAGGGCAAAGTCATATATCTTCTCTGAAGGCAATATATAATTGAGCACTCAATCTTAATAAGAGAGAGAGAGAGAGAGAGAGAGAGAGAGAGATGTCTACAAAAACACAGGCTCTCGTTGCTTGTATTTATTGTTTTGGGGGCTGCAGGCTTCTCCCATTCGATTTTGGACGGCAGTTGGTACCCAGCCAAGGCCACTTACTTCCCCTTTACCGATCCTTCAGAAGGCGTAGGTGTGTCTTCCCAACTTTACTCTTTTACTTTTTCAAACTTTGGATTTTTAATTTTTAATTTTTTTTTGTTTTTTTCTTTTGACAGAAAACAAGCTTTGGATTTTGGTTTTTTTATTTTGCTGCCCTGTTTGAATGACACTCTTATGCCAAAGAATGTGATGTACAAGATACTTTGACACTTTATAACACGGATTTAGAGATGTGCTTCACTATTCATATAGAAACCAATGTCGAAATTTTCACTTTGGAGATTTCTCCGGTCTGGTATTTGAGTTTGGACTTGGGGATTCTTTGAATATTTCTTGAGAGATAAAAAGGAAAAAAGAAAAGAGTAATGATCCTATAAGACCCTCCCACACCCGTGTAGGATTCCAACGGATCACCATTAAATTTGAGGTCCTACATACATGAGTGTGAGAGGGTCTCACAAAGTCATTTCCCAAAAAAAAAATATAAAGATTGGGTTTTTCAATGATGAAGCCGCCGAGGGATACACATACTTTGTAGGGTTGGCAATGGACCCAACCCGGATCTGTGTATGGCCCCTCTTATTTTTGCCAAGTCTCTATATAAACATTTCCCTTTTGTCTTTCATTTTAATTATGTAAATTTTTTTTATTCCTATTTTGACTTCACTCTCATATTTATTACCAAATTTACTCTCTCTATCCCTCTTAAGAGATGCTCTCCTATCTTTCTCTCATATACTAAATGAATATTTACTGTCTTCCCATACATACTATCTTTTTCCCTCTCTCTGCATCTTCTCTCTCTCAATAGATTCTCTCTCATCCTTATCTCTCCTACACTAAAAGAATGTTTACTTATCTCAATGTATTGTCTCTCTCCCCTCTATATAATATTAATTATTAATACGAAAGAAATTTATTATGTTTAATAATTTTGATTATGATAATTATTGTTAGCTGGGGCCATTACAATATTAAAATGTACAACATATATATAGATCATTAACAATAATATTATTGTAATTATAACATTATAATGACTATTATGATTACAAATAAAAAATTAAAACAATGATCAAATATTATTAACAGGTTTTACTCATATAAAAATAACTAAATATAATTACATGTGATAATTACAAATAATAATAATTTAATACATATATTTGCTAAGGGATTATATGTTATAGAAATTATATTATCACTATAAATAGAACTTATTAATAAGATTTGTTTAATAAGTGACATAATACCTAAGAACAAATTATTAACAAACACTTTTTTTTTGTGATTCTTATATTTACTAAGAATTATGTTTAATATCAAAAAGTTATAAATATAATTATAGTCATATCTGGAAGTTTTTATGACATGATTTGGAAATTACAATTACTTGAAAGAAAACTAATATTTTATTTTTCTTTTCTTTCTTATATTGTAATTTTTTGAAATTTTCATGATTAGTTTACACGAGTAAATAACATATTTACTAGCCAAAAAATATAAAACATTAATGAAATGATATATATAAAAAAAAGAAATATAAGTAACCAAGAATGCAAATTATTTTCCCTAATTTTTAAGAATAATATCTACTTATAAGTAAGTTATATATTTACCAATATAAATTTATTTTCCATTAACTGAAAATATAAAAAAGATAAAATACAAGAACAATTAACCAAAAAAATAAATTATATAAGTTAACAATGTATTGCTATAAAAAAGCAAAAGGTTAATATTTATATTGGTAAATGTAAAAGTAAAATAAAGAATAATTCCTTCTCTATTTTTCTATTTTATGTTTTTGGTTTTTTAAAAATTTTGGAATAGAACTTACTTATAGGCAAATAATATATTTACTAGTATAAGTAAAATTAACTTTATTTATATTAGTAAATGATAAAATTGAAAATGTAAAAAGGGGAAAAACAAAAGTGTACTTGTAAATTATAAAGATGCATAATATAACTGAAATTCATCATCATCCAGCCTTATCCCAACTATTTGGTTGGCCACACGAATCTCGCTCCGCTATTCCTCTCAATCAAGGGCCACGCTTTCAATCAGCCCATTGGTCACCATACTTCTTCTCACTACTTCCATCCAAACAATATAATTAAAATCATTTTTAAAAACATGCTACTTCAAAATGCAAGTTATAAATATACTTATATTGTGATATATTTTTGCTTTTTTATTTTAAATTTTGATAATAATATTTACTTAGAATTTAATTATATACTTACTTATATAATTAAATATAATTTTAAAGTGGGTTAGAAAATAATATAATTAAAAATATAATAAATAATGATTATCTAGAAGCCATATGTGAAGATGGATCAATCAAAATCTCTCTCTTTCTATTGACTCTCTTTGTAATCGAATATGTCTTTTGAATATTTTATTTTAGTATTAGCATTTCATTTTAGTATTTAGGACACGAACAATGCACATGCATATCACTAGTTTAAAAAATGAATATATATATATATATATATTTTAACAAATTTATAAACTATATAGATATCTTGATTTTTGGGTATGGTTCTGGTCTTGGTCCCTGTCTCACATTATATTTTTTGAGTACAATGACTTCGGGTCCGGGTCCCATAATATTTTTCAGGTTCGGTTATAGGTCCGACTGGACCCGGACCCCGACCCAACTTGTGGCCACCCATAATACTTTGGTTTTTGAAATTAAAGAATTGGATACTTTGATACCCTAGATTCTCCCCGAGTCTATTTTTTGTAATGGAAAATTTATGAAAATATACCAACATTTTCAATCATTTAACATTTTACCATTGTCAAGTTTCAACTACTCCAATCATGTGTATTCTGATATTTTTAAATTCAAAACAAAAAAAGTGAATAAAATGTTAAATAATTGAAGTCGCCCCCAATTTGGATCGGGTGATTTAACGTCAAGATCGTGGGACTAAAACCCATGTATTTGAGGTTAACGCAAGCTTCACTTTGTTACAAGTGGAAACAGATTTTTTGGGCGAAAATGAATTGAAACTCCTTCAATCACTTAAACAAAATAAAAGTGTGGGGGTTTGAATTAATTTTATTTTATACAAGATGTCATGTTGTGGCAACAGAGAGAAACAGAACATCTCACTCTAAAACTGAACCTTTTGCACGGGGATAATTAAGGGGGTGCTTGCGGTTACGGGGACCTTGTGCAGACCGGGTACGGGAAGACGAATGTGGTGGCCATAAGTGATGCTCTCTTCAACAAGGGAGCCGGTTGTGGTGGATGTTATGAGGTAAAGTGCGTTGATAATCCCCAATATTGCAAAGCAGGAACCTCTGTAAACCTCACTGCCACCAATTTCTGCCCACCAAACTATGCCTTGCCTGGAAGTGATCCAGGCGGCCTCTGCAACTCCCCCAACAAACACTTTGTCCTGCCTTTCATGGCCTTTACCAAGATTGCAATTTGGAAGGCAGATATCATGTCTCTTCAATACAGAAGGTGGGTAAGCGAAATGGAAACAGAATTGGCTTTGGCTTTGAATTCTTCTCTCTACAGTAGTTTGCATAGTTTTATTGGTATGATTCTGTCTCCCTCTCTATCTTATAATTTATGTTAGGATTTATAACGACAACAATAGTCGGTTATGGAGTAGTCTTTTGGTCGGCTTTCCCGTTCTTGAGGACTTTCTGACCCGTAGGCTTTATAGCAGACCTGCCTTGCTGACAGGGAGGTTATGAGGTAGATAGTTACGCCTGCCTTCACTTAGAAACTCTAGGCCACTGTCATGCTTTTGAAACTAGATTCACTCATTCTTGTCTCCAATTGCTCTTCCATATCTTATGATCTATGTTAATTGCTATTCAGGCATCGACGTAGTGGTAGGTATTTTAGTTTGGGTCATAGTTTGAGTGAGGGATGGATGTCAATGGATCAAGTATTTGAAGTTTGCTTAAAATGCATAAACATTTTATTTTATTTTATTTTTTTTCTTTTGATAGTGCATTACTCTAAGAGAAGCCAAATGAGATTCACCTGATCTTACCTTATGTTTAAAAACTTTGTTTAGGTAATATTAATTAAGTACAATTAGGTCACAATCATTTTTGGTCATTAGATGTAACTTACCCCAAGCCACCCACTCTCTCAAAGGAAAATTTGATAAAATTTTTTTTTTCGATTCTTGTATAGAAAAATAACCTTCCCCTAGCCACTAATTTTGGGTCAAACAGCTAAGGCTGACTATATGCCTTTTCAAAGAAGAAAAAGAACTAGTTTGACACCTATTGGTTTTAGTTATCACATTAAAAACATCAAATAACCTGCCCTAGATTGATGTTTTCTCTACTAACCAAACCCATCGGACATGCATCAATTGATGGTTTACATGGCATCACTAAAATGAGACGGTCTCAAAAATATGCCTTAAAAAGAAATTATGTGCTCATCTTTCCTTTTGACCTTATCTGCATCTTCCCATGAAGAAAATTGATTGTTCTCTCAACTCTCCACAATGCCATCGATCATCACTTCAATTTTCCCTCATTTATCATGAAATTCACCTCCAATTTCAACTGAAATTTCCTTTTTCGGCCCAAAAAGTGGCCTATTTTCTCTATTCACTACAAATTTCCCACTAAATGTAGTTAGACTTTTAATGCAAACTGTCTCATTGCCTAATTCCTGCTGAATTCTGGACAAATTTTACAGAGTCAAATGTATCAGACAAGGCGGAATGCGTTTCAGACTGACCGGCCAAGGCTACGTGATCATGGTTTTGTTAAGCAATGTGGGTGGATCAGGTGAGGTTACAAATGTGAATATAAGAGGAACACAAGATGGTTGGATCCCTATGGGAAGGAACTGGGGCTCTATTTGGCGTGTTAATGCTGATCTCAAGAACCAGTCTCTCTCTTTTGAGGTGAGGGCAAGTGATGGACCTATTGTTACATCTTATAATGTTGCTCCTCCAACTTGGCAGTTTGGCCAGACCTTTGAAGGCAAGCAGTTTCCTTGATGAAACATTTCCTCCAATTTCTTTGATTTTTATTTTTATGTTGTGGTATGGGCAAAGTCCTTGTTTGGGTTTGATCTATTTTTTTTGACTAATGTTCAAAACTTTATTGATATTCTAAAAAGAGATTATATTAGAAGAGATAATAAGAGAGTCTAGGTCAACACCTCCTTTAGCCAAAGCATCAGCAATCCCATTAGCCTCCCAAAAAATATGGGAGAAAAAAATGTGTAAGGAAGCTAAAATATCCCCAGACTTGTTTGGGTTTGACCTGTTGATTTGAGTTATTATTCGGTAAATGCTCTTGTTTAGATCAGAGGGTTTTCATTTAAATGGTAAGATTATTAAGATAATTGATAATTCTCTAATAACAGAAGAAAAAGGGCAAACAAAAATAGAAGAATGCTGAGCTTTGTGAGTAATATTGGCAGGAAACAGAGCCATTTTATAGCACATTATATGTGTACCATAAGTAAATATTTTTTGAAAAGAAAGGGTATTGTGTTTGTTACTTTTGTCAAAAAGATGTTATATTTCCTCAAGAGTATACTGTGCGACCTCAGCTTTAACTTTAGGACCCAAAATGTTGTGGATATAACCTCTTTAACTTGTACATTAACCTCAATAAAAACAAGTTCTAATGGCATACTCCCACATTCAGACCGATAACTTTAGGATTCAAAAATTTGAAAATATAACTTCTTTAACGTTAGATTAACCTCAATAAAAAAAATTTCCTAAATTGCACATTCCCACATTCGAGGAAGTAAATGTAAACCATACACCTGAGGGAGTATAATATGCGTCCCCTTGACTTTTTTCCCACGGTTCAATTCCATCATGTGAAAAACTGAAAATCAGGGTTCTTTCGCTTTTCTTTTAATGTGATGTCGAATCTATCGTTTGTTCTGGCTCAAATTCTAACCCAAATAACTCTATTTTCAGTCCTTATTTTTATGTTTTTTTTGGTAATTCAGTGGTAATGACGAGCCCCTACCTGTTTTTTAAATTGTTAGTGATTTTTGAATGCATTAGCTGAGAATGGAAGCTTACAATCTTTATTTCTATATTGTTTTGTTGTTAGTGCATGTCATTGATTAGTGTTAGAGCCCGGCTTAATTGGTTACTGCTTGACAATTTGTAACGCTACGTCCTAGGCTCAATTCTTACCAAGGGTAGGGGCCCGTTCCCCACTGACTTTATTAGTGTTATAATCAATATTTATGTGAATAAATAAGGTTAATCTAGAATTCACCACCTTAAAAGTTAGAGTAATGATCCTATAAGACCTGCCCACACTCATATGTGTAGGACCCGAAAGCATCACCATTAAATATGGTACAGATCTCTAGAAAAATTAACACTAGAAAAATTAACACATGGGTATGAGACTTGACTTTTTTAAAAATATGTGTCATATTTAATGGTGATCCTGTGGGGTCCAACACACATGGGTGTGGAAGGGTCTCAAAGGATCATTACTCCTAAAAGTTAATCTAGAAAATCTTACTCCAATATTTTTTATATGGTGCCTTTACATTAATGAAAATTACTTTTGTTTCATTCCTTTTATCAATAAAAAGAAGGATCATCATTATCGGAGACTTTTCCAAATTATTTGGGTTGGTTACACAAATTCTAGGCTATTCTAGTTTATTAAAGGTCATACCCTCAGTGAGGCTATAAGTTCATATATATTTTCTCACTACTTCCAATCACGTATTTTTTGGCCTACCCTTTTTTTAAAAAAACCTCCAACTTGAAGCAACTAATATATATCATATTTGTTGGAAAATTGGTGGGTGAAATGGGGGCAAAATATGATATGATTTTGAAACATTAGAAGCTCGAATTTTTCATGTTTTTAGGCACGTAGTAGCGCTATCTTAAGATGATATTTTTCCACTTTTAATATTATATTTGATGCGTATGAGAAGGGCAATTCGCCATCGGGATACAGGAAAGCAAAGAGGTCTTTTTGATGTTTCTAAGCTCTATGTATCCGAGCTTGGAACCCATACACTATCAAAGTCTTGATAATTTAGAGTACATGGACATAATAAAAAGTGATACTTTTTGCTTATGCACCCAACTTTTATTGAGATTATATATAAGGAGATCATTTATTTTTTATACAAGGTGATCACAATTACTTATAATCATTTGATGTGAAATCTTATAGCTTGGATGTGTTACAAAGTTCGAGAAAATTCTTCTTGAAGTTTGAGCTTGGTTAATAGTGCCACCCAATTTCATATCCAGTGTTTAATATTAATTATGATTACCTTGTACCAAAATTAAATAGTCTCGTATAAAACGGGCAAATTTGGGTGCATCCTTATTGGAATATGTCGTCTTCCAAAAATTAATTTTAGATATGGATTTAAGATCATGATCATATCCTAGAAGTAGTGAGAAAAGATATAGGGACTTATTGCCTCAAAGTATGGTATTTGATAGAGCTTAATGATAGACTAGGAATTATATAGCTAACCCCAAATAGTTGGAAAAAGACTCTAATGATGATGATTTTTAATATATACACTCTGCAACTTAAAAAATGATATAGGTCTTGTAATAAAAATGAGTGGTCAGAAGCAAAGTTTTTATGGCCTATTTCTTAAGGTTCAAAACTTGGTTTTTTCTTTTTCAAATTCATAATGTTGATGGTCAAGAAGATTATATGCCCCTAGAATTTTAAATCCAAAATCCATCTCTAAGATGTACCTTTTTAGAAAGGAGATTGTATTTAAATAGATGTGCCTTAAAACTCCATCCTTTCGAAGTAAATAATCTGCTCCAATCCAAAGGTCAGTCCGCATGGGAGAATCCCAATGTACACTAATCCTCATTCACACTATCCATTCAATGTCTAAAAGCGATGGTTGGGATGATGTGAACTACTATAGGAAATTTCATTACAATCGTTGAATGCATAACTTAATCGTTGCATTACAATGAAATTATTTACCTTTGATATAAGGAGGTCATAATTATATGTGACCATCTGATGTGAAATTTGAAAGCTTGAGTATATCATAAAATTCAAAAAATTTTCTTTTGAACTTTGAGCATGATCATTAGAATAAATGCAACCACCCAATTTCTCATCCAATATTCAATATTAATTGTGACCACCTTATAATAAAGACAAATGGACTCATAGTATACTTTCCCCATCAAAAAAAAACTTTCTTCGAAGTAGAGGATGCAATCTAAGGTAAAAAGGCTATTTGATTGTCTTGTGCTTACTGTGAAAAGGCTATCCTCACTTTTGTCAATAAATATTAAATGAGGAATACTTTCTATTTGTGAATGATGTTCTTAAAGAACAAGAGACGAGAATTTACGAAACTCTCTTCCTCTCTTCCAAGAGGAAGAGAGAATAAATTAACGTGGAAAGAGAGAGGATAAAGTTGAGATATGAGATGAAAATGTACTACACCATACGTAGCAAGATTAGATTAGACCTCTCACTTTGGATGATCAGATAACCAACCGATCTTACTCAAAGGAAAATTTGGGTTTGGTAAACAACCCTAAATTTTGAGTAAACAGCTATTTAAAAATGGTTGGATTATTCTATTTGGGCAATGAGAAATTATCCAATGCAACAGTTGTATAGAAGTATAATGCAACCACACCTCTAGAAAACTATATTTTTGGTATTTGTAAGATTCTAAAGTTTGCACACACATTCTCTTCATCCTCATAATCAATCCTACCAAAAAAGAATTTCAATTTACACCCTAGATATGGTCAAAATTAGTACCTATCCAACAATGAATCTCGACCATCCATTTGGTAAATTTCAAGATCTAGACCTTAAGAAATTCAAAATCATTTTTTTTCTTAGCATTATTAATTTAATGATAATAATTCTATATAAAAAATTTGGGAATAAAAAAATCGTTCTGAGGCCTATATCTAACCGTCTCAATAAAATAGACGGCTTATATTAATTGGGCTAGAATGAAAACTGTCTATAGCATTTTTTCAAAAAAAAAAAAAAATTGTGATTGTTCTTTAGAATGAAAAGGGTGTCCATTTAAAAATTTGTATCAAGCAATCGTCTCTTACATGGTTTTTTAAGATGGCTGCATTATACTACTATACAACTGTTGCATGAAATCATTTGCTGTTCTAGAATATACCACACTCATTGTGAAATTAGAATTTACTACATTAAAAAAAAATTACCACAAAATACCCTTATGTGTTAAAAAATAACTATATAAATAGTCTATATATTTCAAGAAAGGTTTAATCTTTTTAAAATCCATTCAGATCTCAAATTCAAATTGAAAAATATTTCATTGGCTTTTTAAATGACAAGTGGATCTTTAAAGGGATCAAAATTACAAATATGTTTTTCTCAAAAAATTTAAGCGACCTATTGTTTATGCAATTTGAATTTTTGAAAGGGCATCTAGCTGTAAAAAATTTCAAAGTAAAAAAATTCTAACTTCATCATTAGTACAGTATATTCTAGAATTTATTTTATATTTTAAAATGCTTTTTATTTTTTTTTATATATAAAAATCTAGTCTACCCAGTCTTGCTTTGAACTAATATTTTAATGAAAACGGTTTCTATGAGTCCATGTAGAAATGAGCCATCTCTTAAAAATCTATTTTTGAGATGGATTTTTAGACTTAATTTTTAAGGACATGTAATCTCTAATACGGAGATCATGAATATGAAAAAATAAATCAATTTTAAAAATTAAAAATAATAATTCTATTAAAAAACATTTTTTTCAATTATTTTTTTGGACAGGCCACCTATTTGCATCCATCTTTAAAATATATGTTTTATACTTTAGGATCACATATTATAAAATAAAGTGTCTAACATTCAAATAATTTTACATATGTAACTAGACCACTTCACACTAGTCGGCAATTAATACAATCCACATATTTAACTAGACCAAGCTTGAAATAGATGAACAAACCGTTTTCCTTCCAAGGAGGTAAAGGCGAAAGGGACCTTTTTTATTTACTTTCAAAATAAAACCATAATGAGAAGAAAGAAAAAGGTGGACATGATATTAAACCCGTGATATATTGTTATCACTTAATACCAACTCGCCACACGCCACGTGCCACCCGAATCGAATACTTTTTATACCACTTTTATTAATTTCCCAATACTTTTTATACCACCTCTATTAATTCCAAAACCGCTTAATTTTGCATCCACCTTCAAAATTTTACAAATAATAATAATAATTCAAAATATTGTACAATCTCTCCCAAAAATGCGATGCTCAAACACGACGGGCTTTTGATCTTCAAATATCGGGCTAACTTTTTATGAAATGTAACACATTTTATGTGCCAAATCGGCATTTGAAATTAAAACTATGTTTGTGTAGTACAAAACAAGCTTACATTGAAATTGTATCTGCCAGTGCGACGCATTCTCAAGTTGTGCCGGTCAATAACATTTTGTGTTGGATCGGTTTAGAGAGAGAATAGGAGTTGTGCCGGTCAATAACATTTTGTGTTGGATCGGTTTAGAGAGAGAATAGGAGTGCGATAAGAAAAAAAGAAATATGAGTTCAAACAAGCGGTAATTTTAATATAAAAAATCTATTTTTTTACATGATAGTTGTAAAAATAAACAAGATTAGAGTTAATAATGTGATATAAAAATATTGGGGGATTGACTGCTACGACGCGCATAAAAAAATACAATGTAAGAGATATCTATAATTTTTCCAATATGGAACTCTACAATGGACATTTAGGGTGCGGCGTGCTTTTCTCCAATTTTGTCCATGGAGAGTGCTTAAATAGGGTTTTCTCCAATTTTGTCCATGGAGAGTGCTTAAATAGGTACTGCATGCGTTTTTTTTTTTACAATTTCCAAAGTTACAAAATTACCCATCCCTCGTGTCGGCGCCTTCTTAGATCCGGTTTTTTGTAAAGAGGAACGTGTTCCCGTGGGAGCATGATGCCTTATTTCATCCACAAAAGAGTTGTTTAAGAGTTTTTTTTTTTTTAAAAAAAATATATATATATGATAGTATTATTTATTTTTTATCCAAAGAGGTTACAATCAATATTGACTATTAGATATGAAATTAGATAGATAAGGTTGTATCATTGATTGTGTACAAATTCCAAAATAATTTTTTTTGAATATTATGACACTAATATATTGGATTTGATATCAAAGTAATTGTAGCTTCATTGTACTAAAGATAAACATTCTCATAGTATATAATCCCTACATCTGAAATTTCAGGATGTACTTGATATTTGAAAAAGGAAAATTCACAAAATGTTTTTATTGTACTTTGTAAATTTAAAAACAATATTGTATTTCATATTCTACACTCAAATCGAAATTTTTTAGAGCATAAAGTGTACTTAATTTTAACATTTCTCTATATATTAGATTAAACTTAAATTTGGTATCTTCATATTTCATCATATATATAAGAAAAATAAAATAATAAATAATCAAAATACCCCCATGTTAAAAGGGTACTGTGATAATTTTATTCATTTTGGATTATTTTAACATATCAAATTTGTATTTAATCTAATTAATTTAAAAATAGATAAAATTAAAATACACTATATGTTTTCAAAAAGTGAGACTCGAGTGTAAAATATGTAACATATGGAATTATTTTTAAATTTCTAAAATAAAACAAGTTTTCTATAAATTTCCTATGCAATTTTTTTTTTTTTACTCATCGTTCAATCTTGTAACGTTATTGTTATTTTTTTCAGGCACATAAGAAGCGTGATTGAATTCTTTCTAAGTTGTTAGCTATGCTCAAGAAGCTTCAGTCCCTAAAATTTTCCTGAAAATTTTAAAGTAAATTTTCAATCAATTTGAAATTTAATGTTTCAAATTGACAGCATGCTCCCGCGGCAGCAGAAATTGATGTCACCCCTTCCCTTTCAAAAGTGTATGGTCCCCTTTCGGGGTCCCACAACTATTTAGTCCAGATTCCGGAAATCATGCTAAAATGGAGTTTTATTTGTGTTACTGTCCTTGTCGTGTAAGCAGGTGTCAAAAGCCAACAACGCTAAGGCGTTTAGGTTTCTCTCTGCAAAAGAAAAAGTTAAGAGCACTTGCTTAAGTAGCATTTGCTGCTAAGCTGAACCAGAAAAATGCTTCTAGAGAGAGAGAGTTCAAAACTCCTTCATGGAGAGAGAAGCTTGAGAGATTTGAGACGTTGCTCTAATTTGTAGAGAGAGAGAGAGAGTTGGTTGTAAGAGGGAAAGATCCAGGAGCAGGACCCAAATCACAGATAGGCCTGGATACAGATCTGGAAGCAGTTTCCCTATCCTTCTGAGAGAGAGAGAGAGAGAGAGAGAGAGAGAGAGAGAGAGAGAGAGTAATTATCAAGAGAGAGACAGAACAATGTGTGGAAATAAGCTCTGTTTACTTCATCTTCTTATTTTGTGGGGTGCCCCTTTCTCATTTTCAGCTTTCGACAATAGTTGGCATCCGGCTCGGGCCTCTTACTATGCCCTCAAAGACCCCACAGAAGCCACAGGTAACACATCCTCTTTCTTTGGCATTTAAAGCCGAAAGCCATTCTTGCCGAAATATCGGCTGATTGCTTTTTTTGTGTGATTAACAGTGAGACTGTTTTAGGGTAGGTACATCAGTATTTTTTGGCTAATTTTTAGGGAAATTTGGTGATTTCAGGTCTATTTTGGGAACATTGAAGAGAAAATAATAAAAATAATAGAACTTGTTTGCTTAGGAGAATTGCATAAATGATACGTATCAATTCCTTTTTCATGGTTTTGATTTGTGTTTTTCCTTTCTTGATGGTTAGGGATGGGTTTTGTGGGTTTGCTTGCATGAGAAACAGAGGAGAAGGTGGCGGGATGTATTAATGAAAGAGAAAATTACTTGCAACAAATGATGTGCATGAACTTCTAGAGTGATAAAATATGTTGTGACCTGTGACTATGGAAAAATGATGCTGTTACTATTAATTGAGAGAGGAAATAAGGCTTTTGTTATGAGCAGCTATGTCTTAATCCTATGCTGCAAGTTAATAATGGCTATGTTAAGTGGAGCTTGGAGATCGTCTTCACCCATGGATGTAGTGATATTAGATCTTGGTGTTTTCTGAGCTGTTTATTTTCATTTTGTCTGTTTTGTGCTATTTGTTGTTGGTTTCACCTATTTTCTTCCTTGTGATCGAGCACATCTGGTTAGGCTTTGGCACAATAATTTTGAGTATTTGATAATCAGATGATTGATCTGTTTACCTATTTTTCTTTATATGTTTATGTTAGAATTAATATACTAGCAGAGGTTCTCCCCATACACAGTTTACCTGCCACAGACTCAAAGAGAGATATTTAGTATTGTACTCTGCAATTGAGGGAGAAGAACTGATCAGTGTATGTGTGTGTGTGGGTGGGTGGGTGTGTTTTGTACTCTATTCTTCCTACTGTTTCACCCAGTGTTTTAAAAACTGAACAGGTGGATCGAACTGGTTACCCACCTGTTCCACGTTAGCTCGGAAGTGCCCAAGCTAGCTTTCTGGTTCTCTAGGGGTTTTTTGTATTGACATAAAAAACAAACTGGTGGGAACTGATTGCAACAGGGCGAAACTGGGGTTTCTTAGACTCAGACAGCCCACCCACCCGTTCTGAGCCTGCTCACCTGTTTTTAAAACACTGGTTTCACTATATAGATGTGAGATGCATTCATATTTTCCTGTTGTCTTCTTTTCTACCATACACACTTTTTGAGAGAGAGACTTCTATTTCTTTAAGTGAGAGACATAACCTTTGCTTGAACTCATTCTTCTTTGTTGGGCTTGTTCAGCGGGTGCTTGTGGGTATGGGAACCTAATGAAGAGGGGTTATGGAATGAGCACCGTGGCTTTGAGTGATGCCCTCTTCAACAAGGGAGCCAGTTGTGGGGGTTGCTATGAAGTAAGGTGTGTTGAGGAGCTGAGGTATTGCATTCCGGGCACCTCAATCATCGTCACTGCAACCAATTACTGTGCGGCAAATTATGGGTTGCCAGGAGATGCAGGGGGCCTCTGTAACCCGCCGAACAAGCACTTTGTGATGCCCATTGCTGCATTTGAAAAGATAGGGATTTGGAAGGCTGGTGTCATGCCAGTTCAGTACAGAAGGTAATTGAGGATCTCTCTCTCTCTTCATATCTATTTTAATTATAATTGTATTGGTTGTTTTGATGAGACTCTTATCATGCTCTAATTGCACTTGTTTTCAACTTGCATCATTTCTATGAAACCAATTGCTGGAGAGTAAATTATACAACCAACAACGATCAACTTTTCTAATAATCAAAATAACATAAAGAAAGTAGTGGTGAGATACGATCACATACACCACGCCATCCAGATCGAATGATTAAAGGAAGTGGAATATCCCCTGGCAATTATGACCTATCCTAGATAAAATTAGAGATATTACTAAGGGATAACTATTTTTTTCCGGTCACATCTACAGGGAAAAGGACCCTTCACAGAATATCTGGCCAATGAGATTATCTCCAAGACACAACTGCTGGTGATTAACTTAATAGTTTTATATAGTCCTTACTTCTTAGTGATATTTTTGACGTGATATGTATGTAGATTAATTTTGTGCAATGAATAAATACTTACTCTTAATTTTGCACAATTAATAAATACTAAGTAAGTATTGAAGAAGACATACTATGGTGTATGCACACTTGATATGGTTGGTACTGCATCACGCCCAATTTGAGAACAACTCTAAATTGACCGAGTAGAGACTAACTATGACTCCACCACAACCAAACCTTTCTGAGGGTAAATCCATGGAACAAAGCCTAATCCAGTAATTAGGTTTTCTAGTGGAGGTAAAACATTCCATAGAAATCAAGTTTAATTTCTAGCATTTAGTAACTTTTTGTGAACGTGCATGTATAACATTAACACAATGCAAAAGCTGGTTTTATCTCTTCTTCCCTCCCTCCCCTCTATTTCTCTCTCTAGTTCTTCTTATTTCTGATGAATCATGATATTAACCCCCAAATGCGGGCAGGATACAGTGATCATCAATCCTAAATAGACTTCCATTCTCTGTCGCATCCCACTGAAACTTCCCACCCAACTTTGGCAAATTTATGCTGAAACCTGTCGAGTTTTGAAGAAATTTCAATCTAAACCTGCTAAATCGGTGGAACTCTGATGGAATTGAAGTCTGTTGTAAACTCTTCTACTGTGGCTGAGATCCATCTAAATTTTGGTTCTTTATCTCACTAAAGTAGTGGCTATCTTTAGTTATCTTCTAATTCATCCTGGTTATGGTGATCTTCAGGATCAAATGTATCAGAGAAGGGGGAATCCGGTTCACAGTGACTGGCCTTGGCATCTTTCACTCAGTTTTGATAAGTAATGCGGCAGGACCAGGCGAGGTTTCAGCTGTGAAAATGAAGGGTTCGAGAACAGGGTGGCTACCAATGGGCCGGAATTGGGGCTCAATTTGGCACATTAGTGCCGACTTTAAGAATCAACCTCTCTCTTTTGAGGTGACTGGAAGTGATGGAATTACAGTGACTTCTTATAATGTAGCTCCCCAAAATTGGCAATTTGGTCAAACTTTTGAAGGCAAGCAGTTCCCTTCATGAAACCCCTCCTGGACTTTGTTTGGTGTTCCTTCGTTTTGGTGCTCTAGCTGCTGGCCGTTGTTTGGCTTTGGTTATTGAGTTATTATTTATTGCATGTCTGATGCCTGATAGCAAAGTGTTGGTCTCACTCTTGCTCTCTTTGGAATGCGATTGTATCTTTCTCACCAATGCACAGGGATTTGTCTCCCCTGCTGGAAAGAACTATGATATATTGGTGATGGCATCTTTTGGAATGAACCGGTTCTAGGTGGGCAAGGTGGGCCGCCTGGACGGTGGTTCCACAATATGGCGTCTAGAGTTTCATTCTCACCAGGTCCTAATTTAACATGGAAAAATGAATTAGGTGCCTTTGAGTTGACAAGACTTCAAAATATGTCTCACATAACTCATTGACAATGTGATTTCCAGGACATAAAATCAAACAGATGGGTGATAAGTATCGCTATGATGTGTACCTTATGTTTTTAATAACCAATAATTTGAAGAGTAACATACTGCGTTATGTCGGTACTTAATGTAGCTGAGATATTCTAAGGGAGAAAAGCCTTCCTCAAAAGTTATTTATAGCTCGAACATCACAAAGTGAAGTTACCTTGCATTATTAACTGTATGATTATTAACTGCATATGGAAAGTCTTACGTCCCATCAAATTACCCTGCTTCATAGAAATGCTCTGTAGCCCATTTCAATATACACCTTTCTAGTGGATTCATCATTTCAATGGATCGACGATTAAAAAATCATTGAAGGACCCAATTTTACTCGAGAAAAATGGACCTGAAGTTCTCAAAGTGGTGCAAATATGACTATTCTGGGTTAATTGGAATAGACTATTTAGTTCCGATGTTGAGATGATATTAAAGATGGAAATCTATATAATCAAATTATCGGGATCATGGATGTTTTTTTTTTTAAAACCAGAGGTTTGTGGATGATAAATTCTTAGGTTTTCGAGTCCTGAAATCATAAACAGAATGGATAAATGAGGGTGTGCCACGCTTTTTGGCTGAGACTAAGACCTCATCGAATGCTTTTCTTTCAAAAGTTTAGGAATACCATTAATAATTAAATCTTGGACATAACAGAAAGAAGAACATAGAGATATTTTCTTTTCGAAAACTATAAATATGGGTGTTTTTAACAGAGAAGGGCCTTCAACAAGGGGAAGCACTTTTAGAAGAGAGGGATGTAAAGGTGAGCTTGTAGAGCACATGGGGGGTACTCAAGGCATCACAAGAGCAGCAGTGACTTGAAAAGAAACCAAAATGTTGGCTTTATCTTTCTCTTTTTATGGATGGGTTTGCTTGGATTGCAAGAGATGCATTCTTGAAGAATCAACAAAACCTTGATCATTCCACCAAAGACAATTGGACCAGCTATTCAATTCTTTGACGTGATGCCCTATTACCAGTTTATTAACAAAACTTTATCATCAAAAGTTTGTAGGTCATGGTAGTCATGGGACCAGCATTGAAATGGGCGGATGACGGTAGTCATGGGACCATGTCAGCTACATTTTTCATTTTTATATTGGATTATTTCAATCAATGAAATGTGCGCAGGTTGTAGCAGTCATTGAACCCTTGTAATAAAGTTTAAAAATATATATTCCTAGATCTATAACGAAATGACGAGATGGCCGAGTTGGTCTAAGGCGCCAGATTAAGGTTATGGTCCGAAAGTTTATGTTTTTTTAGCCTTATCTTTAGCCTTGTCATATCTCTATCGATTCACTTATGATCTATCCTCCTTTTACCATCCAGTCCAATTTTGATCAAGAGAACCACTTACGGTTTGATTTTAGATTCGACATCTAAAAGTAGTGTAGACACATAACATTGTGATTGGGGCAATCTTAGCTCTCTATTCAGAATGAACGGTTGGATAAGGGGAGGGTAAATGACATTGTGATTGGGGCAATCTTAGCCCTTCATTTAAAATGGACAGTTGGATAAGGGGAGGGTAAAGCATATAAAGCTTGCCCTTATCATTTTTATGTTGGAGTTTGGTAGTGTTTTTTTATGTTTTAGCCTTATTATTTTTATGTTACCGTTTCCCGGTGGCCTTGTCCAATCTTTATCGATTCACCGAAAACTATGTTTTAGCCTTATCATTTTTATGTTAGTGTTTCCTAGTGCCCTTGTCCAATCTTTTATCGATTCACTTAAAACTAGCAGATTTGTGAGCTATTCGGATGCCATTAAATTTTTTGAATCGACATTTATAAGGGAAAGGTTTCTATACTTTCCCTACAGTATAGAAGATCTATGCTTCCCTTACCATCTAGCCGTCCAATCTTGATCAAGAGAGTCACTCACCGTTTGATCTTAGATCCGACA